CTAATCAAAAACAATTTCTTCTCAAAAAACCTAAAAATAACATCAACTCATCAAGCTTCTTTTCGCCTTATGGCATCAATCCGAAAACCCTTTTTCAAGGTATAAAATCAACCAACATACAATCATTTCACAAGCCTCCGAACTACGGAGCTCTGATTCTTCACTTATTTTAAGTGAGGATACGTAGGCACAAGATCCACAATCTTTGGCGAGCACTTTAATAAAAAACCAACCCCCCTTTCCTTTTAGCAAGAAAACTTTTTGATTAAAAACACTCATTCAAGCTAAACAACTTAGAAGGTTCTCATCGAGTACGATGGATGTGAGGGAGTGATAATACCTTCTCCTCACATAACCGACTCTCGAACCCTAAGACTTGGTTGTGATGACCATGCTCTTTTCCTAAAGGTTTTATCGTTATTTCCCTTTCCCTCATTGGGATAAATAAAATACGGTGGCGACTCTGTGTCATTTTTCGCGTAGCGGAATGAACCATGTAAGGTTATAAGACGGTGAAGAACCACATGACATAGCCATCAACGCAACATCAGTCTGTCAGCGCTCTGGTCACCCAAGCCTCGCCAGGTACCATATGCCTCTGGTAGTCGGCATAGATCTCCTCTATCTGCACATAGGTCAAGCCGAGAGGAACAGAGACAATTGGGTGTCTAGGAATGGTCTGAGTGTAGTCGAACTACCGCATGACGCGCTCGGAAAAATATGGAACAATGATGGTCGAACCACATGCCAACCATCTTGAGAATAGGGAGATGTCGTCAAACGGGCGTGTCACATGGTGATCAACATAGAAGCTGTATCGAATGTCCTCAGCAGCCAGACGATCACGATAGACTCTGTAAGGGTCGACCGCCTAGTTCCCCCTGAGCAGGAGAAAGACACGGGCACGTGACATATGCTTTGTGTAATCAGGCACACTCCCCCACCCGACGATCATGGGAAAGTGCTGGAATATCCAAGTCTTAAATGATAATAAAAAACATCAGGATCAAGCATTCTCTCAAATATAGAATAAAAAGAAATGAAAAAATTCGAAAGATATAAGATTGTTACCACAAGTAATGCCATGCTCTCTACCACAGCCCTGGTCTTCCACAGGCATCCCTCTCCCAGCCTCGAATACGTGTAAGCCAGGGTAGCCGCCCCCAGTTGTACTCATGGATCCGTGTGGAATCTAAAAGTACCTCAGGTAAGCGACATCCGTATATGTGGAGGAAGTGTCCACAAACAGCTGAGTGTCGACTAAAAATAGAAAATAACATCTCAGCACACGCTGCCCGTGTATCTTAACCTCAGCTGGATCACCATCTGCCTGGCATGCAGCAACAAGCATCTCACCAAATCTACGGGTGAGAAAGGAGAACCTGACATGAGCCCCTGTTATCTTATCCACCTCCTCCAGCGTATCTAGTGGATCATCCCCAAGCTCCTCGACCAACATCCCTCTCGCATCCTCCTTCGTCATCCTACCGTGACGGAGGAGGGTACCCCTGATCGATATATGTAACAAACAGGAGATGTCGTCCAGTGTGATCGTGAGCTCACTGTGCGGTAGATGGAAGGAGGACATCTCAGAGTGCCATCTCTCCGCAAAGCCCATCAACACCCCGTTGTAGATCATGCTGTAACCGATCTCACAAAGGTCCTTCAAACCAGAGGTGGCAAGGACATCCTGGATTCAAGCCTCATGTGGCTGCTCCAAAGATAATATCTTCCATCCGTGGTCATAGAACTTTTGCAGTTGACGAGTCTGAAAATTTCCATAAGTAAGAAACAATGGTACAAATTATAAATTTTCAATGAAAAAAAGAAACAATATGAGTAATGTTACCTCTCCATCTCAGACATGTCTGGTAGTATGGTTAGCGTACCCTATCAGCAAGGACATATCTAAGGGACCCCTTAGGAAACCCTCAGGATCATCATTGTCGTCGTCGCCAGCATCCTCCAGTGGTGGGTCATCACCCTTTGGAGGTGGCACTGGATCATCGGCAGAAGGAGAACCAGAAGTAGCCCGACGAGGCCTGCAGGAGGACGGGGCCTGTGATGAACCCTTAGCTGAATCCCGACGCCTCCGGGATGAAGAAGTGCATGACGGGGTGGGCTACCAGGTCGAGGGAATGTCCTTGACATGTGATGAAGAAAGATGTGCCTCAACTGTATCGACCTCGGTAACAATGGCCTGACTCCGCTCGCGTCTCACAGATGTATGCTGTGAAACCTGTCCAAGCCGCAATCTATCTTTTCTGTCTGCCATATGTCTGCAAGGTATAACCAATAAAAAGAATTAGATACAAATAAATTAAAAAAGAAAAAAAGAAAATGAAAATGATTTTTTTTTTACTTCCGGATCTAAACATGCGGAAAACTTCCGTATATGTATCTATGGAAAAACCCAGAATTCAGAAAGTTTGATTTGTTCCGAAGCTGCATCTACGGAATTGCCCTAACATTAATTTGTTCTGTAAATGTAGCTCCGGAACTTCCTGCAACTCTAACAGCAGCGACAATGACGTCCCCTACCCATGAAAATTGATTTTTTGAAACCCGGGTAGCCCGTTTCAGCCAACAAATAATACCTACATTGTCTCTAAACTATGTTTCTAAAACTATCTAACGATTTCTACCCCTAAAACTATATTCTAACTCATTTGCGGGAAATACTCGAAAATACTTCGGAAACTCGAAAACTTACCAATTATATCGAGCTTTGAATGATTTACAGTCTCTTGATCGTTGAGATGAATGCTTCTTGTCGAACTTGATTGAAAACAATTAAGTTTGGTGGAAAATGTTTTTTTGAGGATTGAGAGAGTTTGAGAGTGAGAAGTTGAAAAATGAAGAATGAGGGAGGATAATGAACTTTGGCGCGAATGTATTCTGATTTGTTTCTGAGTTATACAAACGGAAACATTCTATAGATGTACCTCCAAAAAAAACCAACATTAAGTAAAAAAAAAGTGTGTCCAGATATACATCTTAGAAAACAAGAGATATTTTTATAAGTACATATTATACTTAAGAATTTTAAAGGGTTGGATAAAAAATTCTTTTTTTTTTTAGTTAGAAATTTATTAAGTTGTATTTCTTAAAATTTAAGAATTAAGAATCCCGTACTTTGGATTTAGGAGTTATTTTGAATCCATTTTAAAATAGAACGAATTTTGTAAAACTAACTATTAAATTAAAATAGCATTGTTGAAAAACGATTAGAACAAAAATAATAGCTAAAGTAAAAATTTAATCATTTAAAAAATCTTTTATTATAAAACTAGTTTTAAGAAAAGTCAACTTTAAAATTGGTTCAAATAAAATAACCAATTTTAAAACTGATTAAACAAAAAGTTTGTGTTAAAAAAACAGATTTTGAACCAAATCAATTCATATATAAATCAGTTTTGAAAAAATAAATTAGTTTTATCAAAAAAGTTTAAAAACCTAACCAATTTTTTTTTTTTCATTCGGCATGATTTAAGAATCATGCACTCTAAAGAAAATGTGAAAAATCAGAATCATCGTTATTGTAATTGTGATCAGTTGCACACAAAATTCTGTTTTTAACATATTAATTAAACTACTTATACTTTTTTTTTTAAAAAGCAAATGATATTGATAGAAATAATACAAAAGTTATTCAACCCATTACAAATTTACAACACACACAAAATAGTAGATAAAACCGCTTTCACGCAAAAAAAAAATTATGTTCCAACATATCATCTATGTTATACTTTTCATGGCTGAAATTTTTTTCATCCCTCGCCCTCAAATATTTGTTGGATAAAAATAGAGATTGAATATAAATTATCAATTAAAACGTTATTTGATATATCATTTGAAAAATAAATTATAAATTAATAAAAATAAATTATAAGTTTGTAATAAAAATATCATTATCAAATAGATTTTTTATTTCATATAGTCTTATAAGATACAAATTTAAAAAAATGTCAGGTCATTGCTTAAATCTTTATAATCCAACATCTACTTTTACATACTTTCGTTTAGTCATATAAATATATAGTATATTGTTATTAATTTACAATAATTATCAATGATTTTTCACCCTCAAATGCACATATCTAGTTTATCATAAAAAGTTAAACTCAATGCTTTATAAATTCTTAAAATAATATACATTATATTTCTGAGTTCGGTTAATAAAAGGGGGACTAAATCCAGCTAATTACTTCTTTGGTTATTGTGAATTTTAATTTAAAATCAATCTTTGAAACAGCTTATTCCTATAAATGAAGATTAGTTTCTCATAAAAATCAGAGGCTGTCCAAAGGTTAAGCAAATCTATAACTTCTCATCCACTCATAGAGTCAGACACAATTATGGAGACTATTTAACATATTTCTAACAAGGAGTTAGATAAATCCCATTCGTGTTTTATATTTTCACTCCATTCCACAATTTAACATATTTCTATTCTAACAAGGAGTTACATAAAGTACCTCTTATCAAATATTGAGAATAATAAAAGTAATAATTAGATAGTAGAATTAAAAAAGATACATGAATCAAATAAAATGAATCATTCATTTGAGACACTTTTCTATTTCAAACCTGATGTGAAACGGAGGAAGTATAAATTATTATCAACCTCATCTTTAAAGAAGTGAAAGGCAAACTAATGCAAAGAATCCGAAGTTTGATTAAAATATTTTTCGCAATTAAATCATGACAAAATAGTGCAACCATGTGATTTGTCACACTTCAACTGCAATTAACCTGCTCTGGGCCTTTGAAAACCTAACACGGCCCTGATTATTATGGAGCAAACTTACGGATTACACAGCCATTTTCTCCAAAACACAAGTAGCTCACTAATTTGCTCTTTTAAGACCTACGAAACAAGACAATAGCAAACTATGCAGGTAAAACACTAGAGACTTGACCACCACATTCTAAAAAACAGTATGAATAATAACTCCGGATGTCTTTAACAGGCGTTTTACATCTGCTACATTTTTCGTCTAAGGACTCTGTTTACTCAGGATATCCTCGATAAGATCTGCAGCTTCTTGAACTGTTGTGATGCTCTGTGCACTATCCTCTTCAACGCTGATGCCAAACTCTTCCTCGAGTCCCATCACAATCTCAACCTGAAGGGCATGTAAATGGAATTCACAACAATCAAAACAAGGTAATCTTCATGCATGCCTATTAATTTGCACTCAGATTTGGCAAATAAATACAACTAGCATTATATACAGGCAATTGCAATGTCTAGTAAAATTTCAATTACCGTGTCAAGCGAATCAGCTCCAAGAGCTGCAAATTTTGATTCGCCAGTGACATTAGAGTCATCTGATAAAGCCAGCTGCTTCTTCACTATCTGACTCACTTTTTCCACTGTCTGTGGTTTAGCCTGCACAAAGCATTCAGCATAAGCAGAAAATGGAAGATATAATCCCCAAAAACACACAATTATGCGGAGGATGGAAACCATTCATAAACAAAAAAAAAATGGAAATAACTGATGCTTTACGATAATATCAGTCAAACTGCCTAGATATATGGACTTCAACATCAATATGAACTACTGAACTACATTAATGCAATTACACTAGTATTAAACTGTTAGCATAAAACATTGACTTATACAGCCTATTAAAATTTCAACAAACAGTTGGTTCACGAATTCAGAACATTCTCTAATGCAACACAGTTCATATCATATAGTACATAATATGTATACCATTTGATCTTTACATTTTTACTACTATAGAATACGCCAATTCATCTTTCTTATCACAACCTTTCTTAATTGTGAAAGGCCGCGTGTTCCAAATGTAAGACTTAACGAAGTGCAGTTTGTATAAGAAAATACTATTGACCGCAGTTGCAAACAGTCTAACATCTAGTGATTTGGTGTTCATGCAAGCAAAAGGTAAATGTGTAAAACACTTTTTATAGTAGTGACATACAGCACAGGTAACTGTAAGGCGCATTGGGCGTGACTTCGGGCTAAAAGACACATTCCATCTCCCATAGCTTGAAATTAAGGAAGACCTTTTGCTCGCGGTTGAAGTCACAGCCTGTTCAACATATGCATTCAAATGAACTTCATTAGAAAATTAATACAATATATAACTTTTTTTCTCTTTAGCTATAGAAATAACTTAAACAAGAGTTTATCAAGATAAACCCTAATATTATACTTTGCTGTTCTTTTAAACATAAAGCAAATGCTATAATCTAAAATGCACTTTTCTTTAAGTAATAAAAAAACACAAATTATCAATTAATCATGAATACACGATCTAAATTATGCAACTATATACAACAAATTAGAGCGAATTGTACTAGTAACTAATCTCAAACAATAAAATTCAGACATTCTATATCACAAAAATTATAATTTCCGAAAAAAAGCTAAACTAAACAGAATCGGAACGTAGAATCCAGAATTAATCCGCTCATAAGAATGAAAAGGAGACAAATTGAAAGAGAGATATATAGAGGACTCAACAAAGAGATCAATCGATACGAAAAGATGAATAAATCGAAGTGCAGAATTGCAGTGATTAGTACGAGATGGAAGGAGTGATGGAGAATTAAAGGTGATAGGAAGACGATACCAGTCTCTGATTGAGTTGAGGAGGGAGAGATAGAACAGAGCGTGATGCTTGCATGTTGATCGCCATGGAGGTTGTTGGTGCTGTTTGTGTGGAAAGATGAAGAGAAAGAGAGTGTGAAAAAAGAGAAGAGAGAGTTGAGAAGGTGGCGGAGAACGCGAAGGGTGTGAAGTGGAAAGAACGCAAAAGAAGGAATAAATAAATAGCTCCGTGTTTAGTTTGCGCTCCCTTCTATTCCAAGGCCGATTCTTTAGTCACTTTAGTTGTTCACAACCCAATTGATTTAATAAAAAATCGTTAATTAAATTGAACCAAAACCAAAAGAATTTAATTGGTATGCTGACCGAGTGACCGTGTAAAATTTACACCGCAAATCAATCACTCATACACCAAACAATTAGTTTTAAGTTAATAATATAATAGGGTAGATTGATATATTTATATCGAATAATAGTGTAAAATAAAATATATTTATCGTATAAAATTATTTTACATAGTCAATTTAATTTAAATATGTTTGGATCATTTGATAACAAACTTTGCACGATTTGATTTGATTTATTTTACAAACTAAAATAAACCAAACAAAACTATAATATATATTATAAAATCTTATAAAATTATTATATATTTTTTAAATTTTTACATGAATCAACTATCATAATATTTTATCATATTATTTATATGATATTTATTTTAATTTATATATAAAAAATAAAATATTATTTGATCTGACCTGATCAGAAAGGGATCACGGGCTGCCCATACGTTGTTGGACTGCTACCTGTTCACCGGTGATGAGGAGGAGAAGGGGGGTGTACCTGCAAAACACTCTGATGCCAAAGTAAGGAATTTGGCAGAGTGAGGGCAAAGTACAGAAAGGGCAAGATATGAATTACCTGACCCTCTTGAGGAAGAGGGTATTTATAGAGAGACCCCAGCGCTGGGCCAACGGTCACTTGTGTTGGGCTGGATGGACAGGCCCAGCCCAGGTGACTGTTAGGGCTTACGTGGCGTAGTGAAGACCAGGACGTGGTCTTCGCCCTAGTCCAACTGTCCCGTGGTCTCCGGAAAGTGGGTTTGACCTGCTCTTTCGGAGGTTGGCAGTTGGGGGATGACGTGTCCCCGCGGAGGGGAGCACGTGGAGAACGTGCGCATGGCACGTTATTCTCCCCGCGGAGGAAAGCTTGTGGTATCCCCGAGAGCACGTTGTTCTCCCCGTGGAGGGGAGCTCAGGAGGTTCCCCGGCGGTGGGTGATTCTCCCCGTGGTGGGGGGGAGCACACGAGAGCGGGGGAGACATATCATCCTGCCCGTTGGCAGGGGGATTCTGCCCGTGGAGGTTGTTCTGTCAGGCTAGGGGGAGCGCCGAGGACGCTTAGAAGCGCGTCGTCCTGCTTGGTAGGGAGCATGTCCTGCCCGTCCGGTGGGGCGTGTGTCCGGCCAGGCTACTCAACTCATTGGGCATTGGTTGTGCGTTAATGGGCTGGACCGCGAGGCTGGGCCCAGGCCAGAACAGGAGCCCCCCAAGTCGAAGCTCTGTGACGAAAGAGCGAGGACTTAAGGTCGTTGCTTCGGGGAAAGAGGCAGTGAGGTGGGTGACTCCCCGGTTTTTGCTCGTCGGGACGCGTGTGCGCGAAGGTCTCTTCCGGTCGTCGGGTGCGCGGGGCAAAGGCATCTGAAGGGACGCGACCGTCAGCTTACCGCCACGTATCACGCGCGAGTGGGTGCGAGGGCGGCTACCCTAGGGCACTCAAAGGCCTAGCGTCGCTTCGAGTTCTGCGCCGGGTTATAAATATGGGGGTCCCCAAGTAGTTTTTACTTTTCACCTTGCTTTCTCACCTGCGAAGTTCTGTGATTCCTCCCCGTCCGCCATTGCTGTGAATCGCCGCCGCGCCGTTAGTTTTGCACTTCGTTCCTCGCTGTTATAAAGTGATTTTTTTCTTCTTTTCTTTTATTTCCGCCGTTTAATTTGGGTTTGTGGTCGGGGCACGATGAATGCCCCGAGAAGAGATGCGAGTTTCCGCTGCATCTGGTGGTTTTTTTAGGTTTGTTTAGATGAATGCCCCGGGAAGGCCCAATTGTTCCGACGAATGCCCCGGGGACGGGCGCGTTCTCCGATAAGTTCCCCGGGGAGGGGCGATAGGTTAACTTTGAATGCCCCGTGGAGAAGTGGCGGGGAGTGACCCTCGGGGCCGCCCGGGTGCTCGTCTTTTGTTCGCTCACCCGCCGTCGTCGCCCTTTCACTTGACCTGCGGTGGAATGGTGGATTTGATCCTGGCTATCAAATTCACCGTTATCCTCTGCTTTTCAAGTGTACATGTCGGCCTTGATATCGGGGACGATGGTCGAAGACAGTGATCCCGAGACCCCAGAATTTGACGAGCGGGTTCTCCCCGTCGAGGAGTGGGTGGCCGAAGAGCCCCTGTCCACCCCATCTTGCTTCGCGCTCGATGCGTCCGGCGCCTATGTTACCGTGGAGGATCGGGTGGACGGGGAGCCACAACACTGGCAGGTGTATCGTCCCAAGGAGCACCATCGCATCTGCTCGAGCTATGGGCGGCGGATGTTTCCTATGCACGAATTCTATTTTAAAGAGGCCCGACTTAGATTGCCGTTTTCCGCCTTCCATTTGGGTCTTTTCGACTGGTTACGTTTGGTTGATGGCCGTAAAGAGGGCGGCCACCGTTGGGTCCACTCCTGCCGGGACAGGAACGGGTTGGAATGCCGCTGGGCTCGGGGGCCAGTGGTCGGCCTGACGTACCGGTTCTGCGGACGAAGGAGAAGCAGTCTGGTCGTCTCTCTCGTCGGTCTCCGCTGGGTGCGACGTCCCCATCTGCTTGCTGTCGTTGGCGGCGGTGTTGAGCATGAAGTCGTGCATGGTATCGTCGTGGTGTGGGCTAGCCATGATCGTGGAGTGTTGGTGAAACTTTAGTTTTTTGCTCGGAGTAACCGGGAAGTTTCTGTTCCCACAGACGGCGTCACTGATCTGACCTAATCAGAAGGCGATCACGAGCTGGCCACACGCTGTTGGACTGCTACCTGTTCACCGGTGATAAGGAGGAGAAGGGGGTGTACCTGCAAAACACTCTGATGCCAAAGTAAGGAATTGGGCAGAGTGAGGGCAAAGTACAGAAAGGGCAAGATATGAATTACCTGACCCTCTTGAGGAAGAGGGTATTTATAGAGAGACCCCAGCGCTGGGCCAACGGTCACTTATGTTGGGCTGGATGGCCAGGCCCAACCCAGGTGACTGCTAGGGCTTACATGGCGTAGTGAAGACCAGGACGTCATCTTCGCCCTAGTCCAACTGTCATGTGGTCTCCGGAAAGTGGGTTTGACCTGCTCTTTCGGAGGTGGGCAGTTGGGGGATGACGTGTCCCCGTGGAAGGGAGCACATGGAGAACGTCCGCATGGCACGTTAATCTCCCCGCGGAGGGAAGCTCGTGGGATCCCCGAGAGCACGTTGTTCTCCCCGTGGAGGGGAGCTCAGGAGGTTCCCTGGCGGTGGGTGATTCTCCCCGTGGGGGGGGGGGGGGGGGGGAGCACACGAGAGCGGGGGAGACATATCGTCCTGCCCGTTGGCAAGGGGGATTCTGCTCGTGGAGGCTGTTCTGTCCGGCTAGGGGGAGCGCCAAGGACGCTTAGAAGCGCGTCGTCCTGCTTGGCAGGGAGCATGTCTTGCCCGTCCGGTGGGGCGTGTGTCCGACCAGGCTACTCAACTCATTGGGCCTTGGTTGTGCGTTAATGGGCTGGGCCGCGAGACTGGGCCTAGGCCAGAATATTATTTATTTAAATACTATTAGTTTTATTTAAAATAAAATTACTACATATTTATATTTATTTTTATTTTAAATTTGCTCATGTTGATAAGAATAAAATTAAAAAAAAGTTTAATTTATATTACTTTGTATTGTATCCCTTTGTATATAAAACATCAATAATAAAAAATAAATTATAGTGTTAACAGACTAACACAATCACATTGATACACTTGTTTATAAATACACGATATAATAATTTAAATTTATTTAAGTGTTGTTACTAGTGAATTGGTCCTTTGGATTGACTGCATTTAGCAAAAATATAATTTGGAGAAATGTCCAAATATTCAAGATTGACCTAACTTACTAAAGTTGTATGGAACTACAAAAGGGACACATGTTGGGCGCGATGCTCTAGCATGTTGGTACAATATCCGGACCTTGTGCAACATACATCATATTACTGCGTTTTAACAAAATCTTTTAAGGAGATTCAATTATGTTTTATTGTTCTTGATTTAGCAATATCATTGTACGATTTGTTGGACAACTGTGAAGATCAATTTAGATTTAAAAGAGATTTAAATTTGAATTTGTGACAAACCAAATCATATATTTTTGTTGGAGATATTCAAGGAGCAAATCAAATATCTAACCGATTGTGCAAAGATTTCAGACGAAAATAACTGCAGATCCACAAGAAAGAAATCCAGAGTTATTTTGCTATATATGAGCTCAAACCTACATTGGAAAACAAGTATTACCATTGAAGATTTTAGAGTGTTAGGGTTTACAAGAGTCTGTTGGCTAGGATTTTGACGTACATAAAGATTTAAAATGAGCTAGTGGAGTTTGAAGAGTTATTCTAAAAAAAATGTTGCTTTCGACAGGAAAATATTGAGAACCTAGTCGAAGGTACCCTTGCATAAAGAGCATTATTGTCTAGGACTTAGAAATATTTTTTGCCTAGACTAGAGTTCGAAGAATCTTATCTGGAGTAGCATTCGATAGATGTAATTCAAAATCAGGCTGATAACTATTTTTTTGGGCTTATCTGCTTCTTGAAGACACGTGGAGGACTTGTAGCAGCAAAGTTCATGCAAATCAAAGACGTAACATCTTCTGAAGAGAAGACCGTTGAATAACGATTATTCTCGAGTTATTATAAATAGAGTTTTAGCAGTTAAGACTCAGTGTGTTCAAACTTATACAAAAATAATCTACATTTACTCAAAGTACCTGTGCGTGAGAAACGAGTATTCCTGAGTGAAAATGTACGTGTGAATATCATACTTTTTAATTTTTA